GGTTTTTTTGGACCGTTTGGTGACTGGCGATGAAAAATGGATATACCAACGTCTAACGCAGGCATACTTAAAAGGAAGCAAATGAACCGGCAGATTCAATCGTCAAAGCCGAGTTGCATCCAAAAAAAGTCTTGCTATTGCTATTGCCGTTTGGTGGGATTGCTAAGGTGTTATATATTTTGAGCTGCTTCCTGTTGGCCAAACGATTGATTCAAAGAAATACTGCCAATAATTAACCAAATTGGACGCAGCAATCGAAGAAAAACGCCCGAGCTTGGCATCATCTTACATCATGATAACGCCAGACCACACACTTCGAAAATGACTCTGGACATTGAAACAGTTGAAATGGAAAATCTTATTGTATCCACTATATTCTCCGCACATCGCACCTTCTGATTATTATTTTTTTCGGTCATTACAAAACGATTTAAATGGCAAGAATTTCGATTCTGTGGAGGCTGTCAAAAATCACATTACCGCGCAATTTTTGACGCAAAACCATGCGATTTTTTTCAAACGTAGAATCCATAAATTGGTCGAATGTTGGAAAATGATTGTCGAGAATGGTGGCGAATATATCATTGATTAATAAAGGCGGTTTTTTCAATAACAACTGCTTGTCTTTTATTTACAAATCGGGCACGAACTTTTTGCACTGATCCAATATATAATATTCAAGTTATTATTTTAGTATTGATGTATTTCATATTTAACAGACAGATACAAATATTTTTCTATGAGATAAAGAAAAATTTTTAATACTAAATTTTTTACTCTTAAATTTTTTACTGTAGTAATAGACTCTGAAGTTATTACAGTAGTATTAGCAATTATTATTTGAAATAATATTATTGTCTTTAATTAGTAAGAAATAAATATAATAATAGGGCATATAAGAGTTAATAACAAATTAAATTATATATTGAAAAACGAAATTTTACATACTGTATTCTAAACAATTATAATTGAAATACGCTATTACGTTTCGGTCTTTGAATTAGATCTCTTCAGATATTTACTTTATATAAAGATGTTACCATCCTAATGTTACCATGATGTTACCATGAACTAATAGTATTGATTGAATATAGTGTTGTGAAAAAAATTACATTATAATCGCATATTGTGTGAACAATTGAACGTTAAAGACAGAGAAATCGAAATTGCTCGCCAAAAGGTTGGAAGGCCGAATTGAACAGAATTATAAATTGATTGTAATTATCATTGATATCTACGTACTATTGGCAAGTCAGAGTGTGAACGACTGTCTTAGCAATTCTTATTTTAAATTACGATTATAAACAATATGGGCACGTTAAATATGCTGCTGCTAGAGATCTTGCTCATTTTCGATTTTTTATCTCTATAATTTTCTACTTTATTGTTATCGATGTAAAAATTTCTTTTCAATTTCTGTACCTATCATTGCGCTATCTATTGCATTTCGTTCTTTCATTTTAATGTGTTGTTACACTTAATACACTTCAAATGTCATCCGTACTTTGTATGGATAAATTATAATTATGAGAAATTATCCTATACAACACTGTCTTAAAGGATGTCCAAAGGACATTTACATCATAAGAATGTCTTCAAGATGCCGCTCGAAGGCGTTCTATGAGGCATTTTCAATAAAAATACTTGAAATATTATTTTGCTTTTTTTTTAATGGCATTGTCTTTGGTTTTTTTCTGTAAAATATACTTGACCCTTTTTTTTACATTTTTAATATCTTTTCTGGTTGATTTCACGAATTTTTACTAAGCTCTTGTTATTAGTAATAATACATTTTGTATTCATATTTAAAAGATAATACAATATAAACAACAACAGAGTCGCCATGCTACTTTGCCAATTCCATCTATACGAATCGGGCACGAACTTTTGCGCTGATCCAATATATAAAATTTCTTTAATTTGCAAAAAATATTTATAATTATAATAAAATATTTATTGAATTATTTGCATGAATCGAATTATGAACAAAACGGGTGCGTAAAATATGCTGCTGCCAGAGATATAGCTCATTTTCGATTTTTTCTCTACAATTCATTTTCTCTACAATTTTCTACTTTATTGTTATCGATGTAAAAATTTCTTTTCAATTTCTGTACCTATTGCGCTATCTATTGCATTTCTTTCTCTCATTTTAATGTTACACTTAATAGATTTCAAATGTCATTCATACTTTGTATAGTATATTATAATTGTGAGAAATTATCCCATACAATACTGTCTTAAAGAGTGTTCAAAGGACACATTTGTTCATTTACATCATAAAAATGTCTTCAAGATACCGCTCGAAGGACTGCGTTCTATGGAGCATTTTCAATAAAAATACTTGAAATATTATTTTGATTTCATTTCTTTTTTTATAGCATTGTCTTTGATTTTTTTCTGTAAAATATATTTGACCCCTTTTTTACATTTTAATGTCTTTTTCGGTAGATTGTTTCGTTACAAGAAGAAATTAAACTTTATAAAAATAACGATACAAATTATATTAACCTTTCTCTTATAAAAGCCAATATGAAAGTCTTTTATCTATCTTCTAGAGACACACAGATGGCAGTGAATTGTTTCATCCTTATTGTTTACCAATATTAAATAAGGATTAAATGAGTCACTCTGTAAATGAGTCATCTGGGTCCTTTACTAAAAAACAAATTTTCTTTGTATCATGATGGAAATATATTATACTTCCACCATGCTTTGTATGAAAAATTTCTTTTATTTAACATGTGTTGTATTTCGATTCTTCAAATGTTTCTCGCATTACGCGTAACGTAAAATTATAGATTGCTGTCTTGAAATCGGACGTAAATTAGCTATAAGATTGTTCGAAGCGATCAGAGCTTTTTCTCCCCGAGGAAGAATGCAAGTATTTTCTACTTTTCCACAACTTTTCATTCTTCGTAGTCGCGCTTGAAAAGAGCTTACGAGATACGAGACCCCACCCAAAGCGCATTGTCGCGTTAACCTCACCTGTCTCTACCAGCAACGAGAGTATCGCTAGTAACATGCATGCCGCGACACAACGTCTCGTGACAGCCATTCCGATTCCACGGGTCTGATTGCGGTCTCCGGATCGCTTTCCGTAATCTCGATCGTCGTTTCCCTCTCCGCCAGTTTCCCTGTCGATCACGAAATCACAAAAACTCAAAATGACATAATGGCAGGCACCGCTTATTTTTCGTAATTCAGAATTCTTTTAGGAGAATTACTTGGAGTAGGGGTTTGGAGTTTGTCGGAATTCTCTAGCTCCACCGATGTGAAAATCAGCGCGAATGATCACCTCAACGACTCAAAGATGTAACAAAGTTGTACAAACTGCAAAGTTGCACCCTGAATTTCATCTGATCTGAGCAAGTAAGCACTTGTGAAGCACTCGTGTTCGTGAGGTTGGGCGCATTTACCTTCTTCAACATACAACGTACATTAGTACACGTAGTATATATGTAGTTGACACACACACACACACACACACACACACACACAACATACGCTCGTAGTGTGCTTTTTGCACGCATGCGCATTGCGCAACGATAAAGGCAGCAAGCAGTTAAATTGGCGGGGTGAAATGAAAGGTTAGTTTCACTAAAGTATTATATAATAATGCAGGGTATGGTCAACGCAATGCTACAAAGGCTTTAAAGCAATTTTTAATTGGTTAATTTGTAAAATTCTCTTTTCTAATTGATCAACCAAATGCTTCGAAGTATTTATTTGTAGTGAGACTTTGACTGCAGCTATAATACTGCAAATAGCTAAATAGCGTGAATTAGCTTAAATAATATTAACCAATAGATTATAGTTTGCATGAATTTTATAGCTTTTAAGGTGATATAATAGAGTAAAGGCTTTTTTTGTCAATTTTTTCGAAGTAACTATAAGTTTTGGAAAAAATATGAATTGGTATATCAATTGGGCCCACTTTGAAGACATTTTGATAATTTTTACATGTCAAAATATAAATATATGACGATGTTGCATAGCAGTTTAAGCCTATTTTACAATGTGCTTTTTCCTGTTTCTTGGTTTTTAATATTTTTTACATCTTGTCTTTTTGCTTCTTATTCGTTTTTTTATTTTATGTTGCCCGAGTAAAAGTTAACTTCGAAAGAAACAAGAAATACGTAGCAAGAAATACAATTGTTGATAAAACGGTTGCAAAGGAGAAAAAAGCTAAAGGTAAAAAACAAGAAACAAAGAGCACTTATCGAATAGGCTTAATGGTTAATGTCCTACAATGTGCTCTTTGTTTCCTGTTTCTTATTTTTTATCTTTTATTTTTTTCCTCTTTATGATCGTTTTATCAATAATTCTATTTCTTGATATGTGTTTTCTGTTTCTTCTAAAGTTCGTTAACGTTTATGCAACAGAAAACGAAACCGGATAAGAAGCAAAAATGCAAGAAACAGGAAACAAAAAGCACATTGCTTAGCATAGAATAAGCTTAAGATTTCCGTGTCCAAAAAACATGGTCCATTGGCGGCGTAGAGAACTCAAATTGTAATTATCTGAACATTGAAATTAAAATGAAATTTATGTAAATGATGAAATTGAGTAAATTAAATTGAAATTAAATGAAAATTTTTTGAAAATTTCAAATCCATATGAATGTAGTTTTAGTTAAGCGTAGCGATTTTTTAAAATAATTTTTTTTACAAAATAGCAGCGGTTAAAAAGATTTTAATTTCACTATATTTTGAACTTCTTAAACATTTCGCCCTTCGAAAATTAACAATTAAAATAAAAATCCTTATGCTTAACTGAAACTTCGTTTTGTGAAGCTACTGTTCAAAGCTGAAGCCGAAAATTATTCGAGTTATAGACGCCGCCAGTGAAAAAAAAATTTTGAGAAAAACATGTTTAAAGTTTCAGCAGCATTTGAATATGCTATTATAGCATATTCAGCAATGCTATGGAGCATGCGCCCATTCCCTAAAACTCATTCCGTATAACTCGAGAAATACTTCGAATTTTATTAAAATCTTTCAGGAGCGTATTTTTAAGACATCAATCTTTCGAAAAAAATTTTTTTTTCGATCTTTTGAAAATTTTACTCTGTTATATCTCCTTAATCATTATTCTTTATATTATATTATTTTTCTTCATTAAAATTATTTAACTTTTTGTAATTGTATTTGAGTCTTGTCATACATGTATAAATCTTACTTTAGCTGACTTATACTTAATTTTCATCAAAAGATTTCTTCATAATTACTCTTTATAATTGTTCATAATTATTTATAAAATTGATACTTTCGATTTTAAAAAAAGTTCTTATTTATAATTTTTCATAAATTTTGCTTTTTATAACTTCATAATTATAATAATTTATTTACACTTTTTCAACACATTAACATCTTTCTATATAATGCCTGACTGAGCATCAAATTAAAAATTGCTTGTCAATTTAATTTAATTTGTGATATTATTACAGTAGTTTATATAATTGCGTTTATATAAGTCTGGAAAACCAATTCGGCGCACAGTTCGAATAACTATAAATATAATATATATGCATGTGTACATACATGCATAGCATACGAGTATATATAATTCATATTGAATTATTTAAACTTAAAAATCCAGCTTTGACCGTTATAGACATTTAAGTTCTAGTTCATATTGGTTGTATTCTCTCATGTATGTCTAAAATAAGATTCTTATTGTTTATAATAACTTATAATTTTTCTCAATTAATGTTTTTTATAATATGGCAAAGTGTCTGAAAATAGCTTTTTTTTTTAATTTTAACTGCAAATTTCTTAAAATATAGTGGAGCAATTTGAAAATCGGATTCGTATAAAGTGTCCAAAAAACTACGGAAAAAGACTTGTCTCGTTCTAGTATTGGAAAAAAAGGTTATTTTTTTGTTGAATATTATAACTTCTTTGAAAGAAAGTTCCATGAAATTTCTTTTCTTTCTTTTTCATTCAACTCCTATCAATAGTTCGTTGCGATTAAAGTAAGTTATAAATTGCAAAAATAATATATCTTCGGAGTAAAGTGCAGATTTACTTTAGTATGTATATGTTTTATTTTTCCAACAAATTTTCACATAAATAATATAACAGCTTCTACTTCGCTCCGAAATACGGAGCATTACAAGATTACAGAAAAACATTTACATTTTCACATAATGTAGAATACTATAATCTAATGTATATATGTGACGTTTATCTCTCTGTATGACTACTTTGAAACTTTTTCTAATTCAATCTAAACGAAAATATAACTCCATTAAAAAAAAAACTTTTAACTTGTGAAAAATAATTACATTTACCTCATAATTTTGCCAACGATAAAATATTTTATTCAAAATAACATTTTTAGTTAAAAACTTATTTTTAAAACGAGCACTAGTTGCAAAGAAACAAGTATATCGATTGCAAAGATTAAAGTGGAGTTCTTCTATATAAATAATAAATATCGATAGATAATCGAAAATTGAACAGTATTTTATACATGCATCAAATATATAAATATATGTAACATAATGTATATTTCTTATGACTTAAGTTTTACTCCTCGAGCGAAGAGAGTTTATCATTTGATGAAAAATCCGAAACAATGTATACAACGATAGAATATACACAGTATATCACACATCAGGTTGTGTCATCAAATAGTACAAATAAGAGATTTAATATTTTGCATATTGTATGCGGGATATATAAAATACACAATACAATTCTCCAAGGATACATTCCAAACCGTCCTCTCCGAGGAAGATTTTACTTGAAATATTACATGTAACACATATTATAGTATATAGAGTAAAATTTTCCTCAGAGGACATTTTGAATGTAGCCCAAGAGATGTCCTAAGGATGTCCAGAGGATGATCTTAGGATATCCTAAGTTCTAGGTAGAGCTCTAGATTTATAAGATAAATACTAAAGATCGCCATTTTTTTATTTAATAACCTATCATATCAAAGAATTGAATAAACTTACTTATTTATTAAACGATAAACTAAAAAACTAGATTAAAAATAGCAGTTAAAATAGCCAATGGGAAAGCTGTCAGCATTCGGCTCAAAAGATTGCTCTGGTATATCTAGAGCTCTACTTCTAGGACATCCTATGGAAGTTCTCAAGACATCACTCAGAGAACTGTGCCGTGTCAATCCTTTTACTCATTTTCATCAACCTTTCCGTCGATTAAAACCACGATTTACTGCATTTTATGTATAGAATGCAAGTGACAAAAAAGATTGGTCACATAGTTTTACCTGTTCATTAAATCATTATAGTAAAAAATGTATATTATGTATTAGTTACGCCTTATTAAATACCAAACAAACTCTACACCAAAACATTGTTATCGATTGATTTACCAATCAAACACTGCTCGCTATTGTCCTCCTGGAAGATTTTATCTATGGAAAATGGATAAATTCTGATGGCAATGATCACTGATGCATTCTTAAAACGTTTTCAACCTTATATCAAAGCTAAAGATGACTATTTTGCATGTAATTATTTTGGTATTTAATAAGATATGACTAACACTCCAGAACTTATTTTTTTGTAAATATATGTTATACTAATGAGTTGATAAACACAAAAAAAGGATGTTCATTTTTGACTCCCGGCTTACAAACTCTAATAGAAAATCAATATCCTCTTTTGTGACCAAACTTTTTTGTCACTTTGTATAAATTACAATTTGCAAAATATCTCTCCGAAAAGAGACAGAGGAGATCAATGGCAATATTGATTTCCTGAGTCTCTTGAGTCTAGTAATTTGTTTTTCATATTTCTAATGAGTTCATTTAAATTTTGTTTTGTGCTCTCCTACAAAACTTTTCTTAATAGCAGTCTTATTTATGTCTTTCAGATTGGAAGACCGTTCGGTTTTTACGTGTAGCAATCCTGGCTGTATCGTGCGCTCCTTTAATGCTTTGCCTCTTATCGCAAGTATGCGGTACCTTTGGGGATCGCTTCGCGCTGACCTCCTCTGCGGCGCAAGACGGTTCCCCGATCTCGGGAAGAAGCTTGGATGTTCTTGTAGATGAGATGACTTTCAGTCTCTTTGCGCCCTGTCTCACCACCGCTGTTTCCTCGCAAGGCACGCGCATCTTCGCTGAGCTGTTCGTCGTCATTAGTTTTTTATTCGCGGCGTTTAAACGCGGTTTGAGAGTGTCCTTGATTGTTGACGCGATGTTAGATTTGCTCGACCGAAAGCGATCAATCGCCTTCAGAAACGGCTTTGCCTCCACTTCGGATTTGATTGCGCAAATTATCGCGCTGTTCTCTACATTGTTAGCGCAGTGATTCTTCAACGCACGACGCGTGAAAGTCTGCCGGGGTTTCTTGCTACTCTTGATCCTCTTCACTGCCGTATAAAAAGAGGGACCGCGGCGAAGGATGCACTTCTTCACCAAGTTGCCCTCGCTCCTTATAGCATT